ATATTCTCATCTATAGCCGAGATGAACAGGAGCATATGTTGCATCTCTGAGAAGTCTTCCAAGTGCTAAAGGAGAATGAACTTTGCATCAACCTTAAGAAGTGTGTGTTATTGATAACCCAGCTAGTGTTCTTAGGGTTTGTGGTAAGCTCACAGGGGATCTAGGTTGACGATGATAAAGTCATGGCAATCAAGGATTGACCAACTCCAAAAAGTGCTACTGAAGTAAGAAGCTTTCATAGGTTAGCATCTTTTTATCAGCGTTTCATTCACAATTTCAGTTCTATAGTTGCTCCCATGACGGATTGCTTGAAGAAGAAGGGTGTTTTCGAGTGGACCGATGAAGAAAATGCAGCTTTTTCCTTTATCAATTAGAAGATTACTACTGCACCTATATTGGCGTTTCCATGTTTTAACAAACTCTTTGAGCTTGAATGAGACGCGTATGGTATAGGTATTGGTGTAGTCCTCTCTCAAGAGAAGCGTCACATTGCTTTGTTAAGTGAGAATTTGAATAAAGCTCGGCAGAAGTGGAGTACTTATGAGCAGGAATTACATGCTATTTATCGTTCTTTGAAGACTTGGGAAAGTTACCTCATTGCTAACGATTTTGTGATTTACTCCAATCATCAGTCTCTTCAACACTACAAGAATCAAAAGCATATCAACAAAATGCATGGACGTTGGGCTTCGTATTTTGAGCAATTTAATTTTACTTTGCGACATAAATCAAGAGTTGACAATAAGGTACCCGTTGCTTTAAGTCGGCGGGTATCCTTTGTTGAGTGTATTGTGAAGTGAAGTTATTACTTTTGACTGTTTAAAAAAGCTTTATGTTGATGATGAAGACTTTCAGGAGATTTGGGCAAAGTGATCGACAAGATAACCAACAGAAGACTTTGTTATCATGGACGGCTTTCTGTTTAAAGGAAATCGGCTTTGTATTCCCAGGACATCATTGAGGGAAAAAATAGTTCGAGACTTGTATGGTGGCGGGCTTGGTGGACACTTTGGGTGAGATAAAACTATTTTGAGTCTTGAGGAGAGATACTATTGGTCGAGTTTCGGGAAGGATGTGGCGACACTTGTGAGGAGTTGTCAAGTGTGCCAAGTTGCAAAAGGACAAGTGCAGAATACTGGTTTGTATACTCCTCTACCTGTGCCTAAGGATATATGAGAATATTTGAGTATGAACTTTGTGTTGGGACGTCCCCGAACACAAAGAGGTGTGGATTCTGTCTTTGTGGTAGTGGATCGATTTTTAAGATGGCCCACTTCATTCCATATCGTAAGACTTCGGATGCACCACATGTTGCATGACTATTCTTTGAAGAAGTGGTTCGACTATATGGTATTCCTAGTTCGATTGTCTCGGATAGGAATACTAGGTTCTTGGCAACTTTTTGGACTACTTTATTACGACGATTTGACACTTTATTGAAGTATTCTAACAGAGCACACCCTCAAACGGATGGACAAACAGAAGTGGTCAATTGAACTTTGGGAAACTTGATTTGATGCATATGCGGAGAGAAGCCAAAGATGTGGGATCAAGTTATATCTCAAGCTGAATTCGCCTACAACATGACTGTTCATAGTTCCACATGTATGTCTCCTTTTTCTATCGTTTACAGGAAGACACCTCGACATCTCCAAGATTTGTTGAAGTTGCCGACGATCAGCAAGTTCAACGAGACAGCAAGTTCAATGGCCGAGAATGCTATCAATATTCAGGAAGAAGTGCGTACAAAACTTGAGAAAGTCAATGCAAAGTTCAAGGCGCGAGCGGACAAGAAGAGGCGACTCAAGGTGTTCAATGAAGGAGACATGGTAATGGTTTACTTACGGAATGAATGGGTGCCGGCTGGAACATACAGCAAGCTTAAGATGAAAAGATATAGACCGTTCAAGATTCTCAAAAAGATCAATGACAATGCATACGTAGTGGATCTTCCAGAAGGAATGTCTATGTATAAGACATTCAACGTGGCGGATCTTTTTGACTATCATCCTTCAATCAAGTTGTATTCAAGTGATGCGAACTCAAAGACGAGTTCTTTTGAAGAAGGAGGGACTGAAATAGGAGATCTACACGACCGAGATGACATCAGCGGATGATGACTCGACATCTCAACTCGAGTCGAGTCGACAGTCGAGATGACTAAACAGATGGACGAGACGGGACTCGACTCAAACCAACCTAGACGAACAGACAACTTGAGGTGATGAGTCGAGATGACGACTCGAGTCGAAGCAACCCAACCGAGACCCCAACCGAGACCCCAGTCGAGACACCAGCTAAGACCCTAGTCGATAGGACGGAACGACACACCCCAGTCGATATGAAGGGCGGTGTAAGTCGACATATGCCAGTCGACACGAAGGGCAGTACTACTCGACATACTTAGTCGACTCATGTCCAGTCGACACGAAAGGCATTACTACTCGGCACGTCTCGTGTCGACTCGGCAAACAGAATAGGAAAGAAGTTTTCTTTTGGTTATTTCCTTTTAGGATTAGAGTTTTTTTATTAGGGTTAGTTGGTTATAAATATTAGTTCCTTTTGTATGCAAACTTTTCAGTTAGGATAGGGTTAGTTGGTTATAAATTAACTTTTCAATTAGTCAATTAAGAGAATTTTTCTCCTTGTTTTCATTCTCAAACTTGAGAAACTTAGAGCTTGTGGATTCAAGCTCGTGAAATACCTGCTATTGTCAGACCCTAGTCGATAGGACGGAACGACACACCCCAGTCGATATGAAGGGCGGTGTAAGTCGACATATGCCAGTCGACACGAAGGGCAGTACTACTCGACATACTTAGTCGACTCATGTCCAGTCGACACGAAAGGCATTACTACTCGGCACGTCTCGTGTCGACTCGGCAAACAGAATAGGAAAGAAGTTTTCTTTTGGTTATTTCCTTTTAGGATTAGAGTTTTTTTATTAGGGTTAGTTGGTTATAAATATTAGTTCCTTTTGTATGCAAACTTTTCAGTTAGGATAGGGTTAGTTGGTTATAAATTAACTTTTCAATTAGTCAATTAAGAGAATTTTTCTCCTTGTTTTCATTCTCAAACTTGAGAAACTTAGAGCTTGTGGATTCAAGCTCGTGAAATACCTGCTATTGTCAGGGCTCGTCGGCATCGGAACGATATCCGATCGGTCTCCCCGTTTCTACGTCTGCGTCAACTTTAAAGTTTTCTCATGGGATTCCTATCTATAGTTGGAAAATAAGTAAAATCTCTTTAAGAGAAAACCCCCCGCTTTAGCTAGTATTTGTCATTTACATGAACTGTATCCCCCTAATCAAGGATTTGCTTCTCTCAAGGAAATTTAATTATTGCAAATTACAAGAACTTCAAAAAGTTTTTGGAGAAAAATTGTTATGTTGATGCCTAGGTTCAACCAGGAACTCCCAAGATATTGGGGATTTAGTGAGAGTTTCAAAATTTTGGGGGGTAAGGTGCGAAACTTCTAAAGTTATTGGAGGTTTAAGTGAAATTTACACAACGTATTAGCCTAGAGGTCTGAATGTGTTAGCATGCAAACTTTAATCAATCAAAATTTGCATCTATTAGCATATGAAGTCTGAATCTGAAAGTCAAAGAACAGTTTGTATGGTCAGGGCTACTAAATTGTAAATTGCAATGATCTGCCTTAACATTACTAAAGAATTACATGAACATCATCCAAGCAGCGCAAACTACCAAGATAATTTTTTCTAGCAGTATGTGGGCACTATAATGATTCATCAATCATAAATTAAGAGAACTCCAGAGATGAGTTGCATACAATATCAGTTACGTGCTTTTTCTCTTACTCTTTTTTGACATGAATAACTCCATTGTTTAAAGTTCAAAAATTCCTCAAAACTACCATTTTGTCTAGCCAGTGGGAAGAGTTACAAAAAATTTCTAATTAAATATTTGGAACTTTCAAAGATAACTCGAATCGTGATTCTAGCATGAACTCATAATAAATTATAGAGTTGTCTTGGTTGTTCTTATGATCGCCATGATGCTAGTTTCAAACCCATATATGAAATGCCCCCGTTTTCTGGTGATTGTTTGGTAGAATGAAAGTTACCTTAAGGAGAAAAGACATTAACATTATTTAAGACAGCAGCCAGGTTGACAGAATCTAGACTTTAGTTTTAAGTTTCTGACAACTAGAGACAAGAGAAATGTTAGCTGTTGGTGGTTCCATTTTTTTTAAAAAGACTTTAAGCAGAAAGGATCTCTTTACTCGAGAAATTCTAAAATAGCTTAAAGAACCCTTTCTACTTAAAATCCTCATTAAAACAGGACAAATTTTAAAAACAGACCCTTTTGCAAAAATATTCTCAAAAAAAGACCCGTTTTGAAAATATTCGCAAAAAACGACCCAATTTTAACCTCAGGGCTGAAACTGGATCGTTTTTTGCGAAAAATGTTCTCAAACTTCACGGGAGTTGAACTTCCGTAAAGTTTTGTTATGAAAAAAACTTCACGGGAGTTCAACTCCCGTGAAGTTTGGGAATATTTTTCACAAAAAAACGATCCAGTTTCAACAAAGTAGGTCGTTTTTTGAAAATAAAGTGGAAAACTAGGTCGTTTTTTAAAAATAAAGTAAAAACGGGTCTTTTTTGAGAATATTTTTGCAATGGGGTCTGTTTTCAAAATTTGTCCCATTAAAACATCTTTAAAGACAATCTACGATCTCAAAGGATAAAATTTTATAGCCTAGTTGGTTGAATTTTTTTTAACAAATTAAAATACAGGTTAATAACACTACATCTGGTGAAATTTAAATTTGAATTGCTTTAGTATGATCTCAAAGATACTTTCATCATACAAACTTCTGAAGTTTTGATGAAAGTCCAGAATTATGTATTTTTTTCTCTGCTCTAATCATTATATCCTTCGTTGTTGTTTATAACTTCAAACAACAAATACAAAACCAAAGCTATTTACTACTCATTCAGCATTTTAACCCACAAACGCAGGTGAACGAGATTAAGGAGGATAACAGAGCTGTTATTGATTAGCGCATCAAAACACCCATAAAAACAACACATCAATAATAACCAAGCACCAAAGTAGCTAGAAATCCCCAAACAGAGAAAGAAGAAGCTCACAGAAACCTAAAGTTAAGTCAACAAAAAATTTAAACAAACAAACAAACAAACCCCATGTTTCAAGCGACAGGTCAAATTGAATTGGGCTTCAGTGACCGTATAGAACTTGAGAAATATCAGCAAACGCCCTGAGAATAGCAGCATGATGATGAGGGGAATTCAGAGTGAGATAAGAATGCAGCAACCTCTCAAGATCTCTAGCCCCAAATATCTGCCTCTCTACTATCATCTCCACCATCGAACTCCGAAAATCGGTGTAAGGATCATTCGATCTCTTCATCACCGGAACGCCCTTCTTATTACTATTAGTCCTTTTCCTCGGCGGCGGTGGCTTGCTCTGTTTCTTGTTCTTTTTCTTGTAAGCTTTCCGCTTCGAAGGGCGACTGTAGAACACAGAGGAGTCAGAGGAGAAGCCTCTGGACGAGAAGAAGGTGCCTGCATCTTTTTCAATGCGGCCGCCGTCGTCGTCGCTGAAGGACTCCGAATCAGAAGAGCTTGTGAATCCGTAGGCGTTGTTGGACAAGAGGGGCTTAACCTTCTTCTTGTTTGTCCTCCTGTCGTTCCTCTTGGCCTCTAATTCTTTTTCTTCGGTCGCCTGCGAATCTCCGGGCTGTGTGAGTTCTCTCTCGTCCTTTTTGTCCGCGACATTGAATGTGACGGCGTAGGGGACGACGTCGACGGGGTCTGAAGCTTTGCTGGGTCGGCAAGGTTTGAGGCGCGCAGTCGAGGGAGAGGAAGCGGGAGGAGGAGGAGATTGAGAGGGAGCGGTCGAAGGCAGTGGAGGGTGAAATGCTTTCGGTGGTGGCAGCGGAGAGGCTGCGGCGCTGGAGGTGTCGCGGCGCGGAGGAGGAGGTGAAGATGCTGCCGGGTGGCGGAGGTGGGGAACCGCATGAGGTTCGGAGGAGGGTCGGGGCCGGAGAGGCGGCTCAGCCGCTGCTTTAGCCGGTTCGTGCTCTCCATGCAAACGTCTTTTTACTTTTCTTCTTCTTCTTCTTCTTCTTCCTTTTTTCCCCACTGTTTAGAACTTTAGATTGATGAGCTCATCGCGGTTGATTGGGCTTCGAGTTTGAAATGGCTTGGAGAGAGGGCAGGGTACTGGTATTGGGTATTTGTTTAGTTTATATATAGAGTTTGTTTTCAAAAGGTAAAAGTTTTTGTTATTTAATTAGGATTTTGGGAGAATGAATGTCACGAGTACTACTACCGGGGGAGAGGCAGAGCTGAGTCGTGATGAGTAGGCTGGCGTTTCTGAAAATGGGAGTTGTTAGTAGGTTTTTGTATTGATGCTTGAGGACTAATTTGAATTTATACGATCCCTAAATTATGGAAATGTTAAAAATATTTCAAAATTTTTAAGTTCACCAAAAAGGTTCACGTTAATGATTTCCGTTTAAAATCTAAAGATTAAATATCTACTAAAGTCAGAGTTTACTCTCTCTCCTGAAGGAGCAACCTGTTTTGTGATAAATGTGACAATATCCATTATAGCAGATAGCACTACTCACGATGGCTGATGGTGGAGACTGATCTACAATGTAATATGAATACCAACAAAAATTAACTTACTTGTGGGATCAAACATCATCTGTGGCCTATTTTAAATTAGACATCTTATGGAGACCAATATCGGAAAAAACCCCTTCGTAGTATGTTTTATAAAATTTTAGAATCCTAACATTATTGACTTCAGCTGTTAAGTTTATAACTTTGGATTAATTTAAAAAAATCTCCTTAGATTTTGGGGCTTTGCAAATAATCATGTTGACTATATGTTAATCCACTATCCACTAGAAACTTGAGGCTATCCAGACATAACTCCTCTAAACTTTTTATTCCACTAAAATCCTTAATTCACTTTAGCCCCCAAAATAACGCACGTCATGTATCACATGATTGGAAAGTGTCCAAAAAGGATGTAAATGCTCTTTGGTCCTCATAAAATTACCATTTTATCTTTTTTTAATTCTAATGGCTCAATCTCACCACAATTAGATAAAATATATTCGACAAAAGCTTATTGGATGGGCTTATATAAATATTGTGTTAATTTGTTCATCATTTTGGAAAAACAAATAAACGTGTTTGCCACCTAAAAGTTTAATTGAATCAAATCACTTTTGGAAGCAGTTAATCTCTCCTTCTCCTATCAGATTTTGGGCAAAATCTAGTTGGCCAAATGATCATCAGCCACGGTTTTTCGATTAGCAATGTTTTTTTTTTAATACGGAAAAGTTAAGCTATATATCTTACGCTAACGAGTATTTAAATAAAAACTTTAAACATGCGAACCTAAAATGATGAGCATATCACACCTTTCTCAATCCGTCAAGCGCTCCTATATGTTGTGCTAATTAATTACTTATATTTAACAATATATGAAACATGATGATGGCAATGTATGCAATTGGCTGAGGTGACTTGTAAAATTAACTCGAACCCAAATCTCAATATAGTCAGCTAATATGCTCCTAATATTTGGCTGAATTTTATTGGGGATGCATGACCATATGTAATATTAAATTACTAGCTAGTACTAGAAACTATAAAAGTTGCAACAATAAGGCTTAACATAATTGTAAATTATTTTAGTGAATAATTACGGTTTATCTTGTCTAAATACAAATCACAAAGAATATGATGAATTTTAAATTTAAAATGTATCATATACTAGATTTCTCTTTATTGAGAAAATGAACTTTCTCTCTCTTGCCGTTCATGAAGTTATCCAAAATCCATAATTTGAAATGTACGCTGTGATGATCTCTACGTCCCATAATGAACGACATAAATATGTGCACGTGGTGCCCATTTATATACAAGCCTTTCTTAAATATGTATACCATTAATTCCCTCATTTAAGTATAGACTAATTAATAGGTCTCATAAAAGGGAAATATCCTTTTTATACATCAAGTAGTCCTGGAGTAGACTTACACACGTAAACATTTAATACACGATCGAAGTAACGAAATGCTAAATTCTTTCTTGCAAAGTGGATGCTCATTTTGTATGTACAGTCTCCATCACTTTCCTTCTCAACTTTCGCTACCATCCAAGAAATTAACTACCATATTGCTTCTTGATTACATTATCACTAAATTCATACATTTTTCGCTACCAGTCTTTTTCCCCTGTTAAATTAATGGCTACAACTACTTCCATAATAAGTTATATGACAGAATGCAAGTAGGTCAAGTGTCCCTAAATTCTCTTTAGCTTTCTTTCTGTTTCCCTTTTATTGCTTGACAATAGGGCCATTGATCCTTCCTCGATTATATGAACGTTAAGCAGGTGGAGAGCAACTTGCAGTAAATTTAGTGTCATTTCACACTTGGGCATCTTAGCAAATTAATCACTAGGAATAATGATGTTTGAACTCAATTTTCAATTTTGTCGATTGAGTGAGACCTGAAAAGCTTTTCATGGTAACGGGTAGTAGGAATAACGTATTAGACCTAAAGTATAGCTTGAGTTGAGGATCAATTGTAACAAAATTTGATGAAATTGGCCATCCGTCACAACGGTCATAAAGACAGCAAAGTTTGTTTTTATCTCGTGTATGAGTTTTTGAGTTTTATGTAGTGAAAGGATTAATTGTTGCCAAAATGACAGATGGTACTAATTATGAAACGTGGACAGAATTTTATGGAGCTAGTTCAGCTCATAACTGGGATAATTATGACAGAAAGGCTTATTAGAAGAAAGCACGATGCTCATTGATAATTATGACAGTAATAGTACTAGTCACCCCAATTTTATGCATGTTAGGAAGTTATCGGGTCACTTTTGGTAGGTCAACGTGTTTTATAGATATTCATGAATATCAAATAGAAGCTTAAACTAGGTCCCGTTTGGCAACGGATCAAGAGAGGGGTTAAGGGGGTTTAACCACTCTTTAACCATCCAAACAACAAAATTAACACAGAGGTTAATAAGCCCGTAAACATGTAAACTGAAAGTTGACCCTCGTTTAGAAGGGTTTACGTACTATTACTTCCAAGGAGGCGGAATAAGAGGCTAAATCAAAGTTGTTCTGCCTTGTTAACTAGGGTGTGCATGGTAATTAACACTAAAGTAGAAAGAAGTGTGAAGAAGAGTATGCAGAGGCACGAAATAGGAGGAGGAATATATGTTGGAATTGCTTGATTCCTTTCTCTGTATTATCTTCTTTATATAGAGATGTAGAGTACAATGATAAGGCTAAATCTCTTGATTACCTTTCTCTGTATTATCTTCTTTATATAGAGATGTAGAGTACAATGATAAGGCTAAATCTCTTGATTATAGCCATGGATTCTTGTAACTATTATAGAGATGTAGAGTACAATGATAAGGCTAAATCTCTTGATTATAGCCATGGATTCTTGTAACTATATATAGGTAGAGTCCATTGATTTCAACCTTACACTATGAACAATATACAGCTATATGGTTGTAACTAGATGTTTAACTGAATGTAGAGATCTCGCACATAGCTCGCACAGCCCCCCTCAAGCTCACGACGGGTTATCCCATAAGGAGAGCTTGTCCCGTAGCCAGAGAAAGCGAGGAGTAGGGAGAGATTTAGTGAAGATATCAGCGACTTGAACTTTGCCGGGTAAATGAGAGAGAGTGATTGCACCTCAAAGGACATGAGCACGTATGAAATGAACATCGATGCCAATGTTCTTAGTCCTGCTGTGGAAGACCGAGTTTTTGGACATGTGGATCGCGCTAATATTGTCGTATAGAAGTAACGGAGGATTGGATAGGTCAACTCTGAGAAACCGAAGCATATGTAGGAACCAAAGAACCTCAGTAGTTGTGGAAGCCAATGCGCGATACTCAGCCTCCGCACTAGATCTAGAGATAGTAGATTGTTTCTTAGATCCCCAAGAAAGAAGATTTTGCCCCAAGAACACTACATATCCCGTTGTTGAACGTTGACTATCTGGACAACCAGCCCAGTCTACATCCGAAAAGGCACGGATCTGAAGAGAATCATCCTTAGAAAATCTAAGGCCTAAGGATAGAGTACCTTTGACATAGCGGAAGATCCTCTTGACAGCGGCAAGATGAGAGGAGCATGGCTTTTGCATAAATTGGCACACATGATTGACTGCATAAGTAAGATCCAGACGTGTCATCGTTAAGTATTGAAGAGAGCCAACCATCTGTCGGTAGATTGTATGATCAGGAAGAGGGTCTGGGGCTAAAGATGAGAGTTGAAGTCCGACTTCGAGAGGACTTTTGATAGGTTTTACACCAGAGAGACCAAACCGATGAAGAAGGGTGAGTGCATACTGAGTTTGAGAAAGAATAAGTGAATCATGATTCCGCACAACTTGCATGCCTAAGAATAAATTAAGAGCACCTAAATCCTTCATGTCAAATTCTGAAGAAAGACGTCGAATGAGCCGAGAAAGTAGGTGATCATGGGTTCCAGTGATGATAAGATCATCCACATATAGTAACACGAGAATGGTGCAGTTACCTTGATTCCACATAAATAAAGAAGTATCATGAGGACAGCTAATGAATCCAAACTGTTGAAGAAAATTGGTAAACCGAGTGTACCATGCCCGTGGAGCTTGACGTAGACCATAAAGTGCCTTGTGCAGGTGATAGACATGGTTCGGACGTGCTGGATCAATGAACCCTGGTAGTTGTTAGAGGTAGACGACTTCGTGCAGATCCCTGTGTAAAACTGCATTCTTGACTTCTAATTGTCGGAGCGGCCAGTCATGTGAGAGTGCCAAGGAGAGAATGAGTCGCACAATACCAGATTTGACAACATGACTGAAAGTTTCAGCGAAGTCGAAACCCTCACGTTGATTGAAGCCTTTTGCGACCAATCAGGCTTTGTAGCGTTCGATGGAGCCGTCCGCATGATATTTCAGTTTGTAGACCCACTTACAACCGACGATATTCATTGATTGAGTAAGGGGTACAAGAGTCCAGGTTGAGTTACGCTGAAGGGTATCATATTCCTGTGCCATAGCCTATTTCCAGTGAGGATCAGCTACCACTTGCTTATATGTAGAGGGCTCTGCTGCATGATTCTGCAAGGTAGAAGCAAGTGATAAGGGGATCGGATGGCGAGTTGCACAAAGGCCCTTTGGACATCGGGTCCCGTCGTGGGAGCGAGTGATCATGGAGTGATGAGAAACTGATGGTGGTGAATTAGAATCAAAGGGTGCTGCCCCGGGACCACTGCGAGTACCTCGAGCATGCTTAATAGGAGCATGAGTAGGCCATGGTGGCGGCAACAGAGATGTCCTTTTCAAGGAGATAGGAGCAGTATTCTTAGTTTCTGGTGCAACAAGTTCCGGTGCAGGAACTTGGCCTTGTGCAGGAATTTCAGGAAGTGCAGCAGGTTCTGGTGCAGCAACAAGTTCCGGTGCAGGAACTTGGCCTTGTGCAGGAATTTCAGGAAGTGCAGCAGGTTCTGGTGCAGCAGGTTCTGGTGCAGCAGGTTCAATTCCAGGAAGTTCAGGAAGTGCAGCAGGTTCAGGAAGTGCAGCATGTTCGCCACCATTTGTAGAAGGCCCAGGAAGAGCAGGGCAATGATCAACTGATTCATGTGGTACAATTCCATGATCCTGGATTCTCGCGGAAGAAGAGCTGGTATGAACTTGGCCTTTATTGACTTGAGATGAAGCTGTTGTCAAATAATGAAATGTCTGATCTGGAAACGGCTGGGTTCGAAACACTGGTGAGGCATTGCTAGATGTTTCCTGTGATATTCTTGCAAACGGAAAGGAATTTTTATCAAATGACACATGCTGTGAGATATAAAGTTTGCCAGATACAGTATCCAAGCATTGATAACCTTTATGTTTGCCACTGTAACCAAAAAACACGCATTCAAGTGACTTGTAAGCTAATTTATCACGACCAAAGGGATCAAGGAGTGGAAAACAAGCACAACCAAATACTCGTAGATGAGCATAATCAAGTTTTTGACCAAAAATAGTCTCGAAGGGAGTTCGACCATGTTTAGAACCCTTCAATAGAATCTGGTCGCTCCTTAGATCCTTGATAACAAAACCCCAAGGGTAAAACAGAAAACAACAGTTATTATCCTTGGTGTATTGAGAAACACTAAGCAAATTTTTCTTAATGAAAGGTACAACAAGAACATTGGATAGATGAAGTTTAGTATGAGGTATAGTCAAATGACCAAGATGAGTAATGGGGAGAGTGCAACCATTACCAACAAGGACTGAATCTGAGCCGTGATAAAAAGTTTTACCTTCAACTTGAGTTGGGTCAGCTATCATATGGTTTATGGCACCCGTGTCTGGGTACCATGCATGATCATTTGATCAGCGAGATGCATGGCGGTGAAGGCCTGAGTTGTATCAGCTACAATAGAGTCCGGAGCGAAACAATTGTTTGCTTTGTGGTAGGGGTGACCACATCGAAAACAGTAGACTCTAGAGGAATCTCCAACCGTTGAAGCATTGGGACGACTAGAGCCACGACCACCACGAGACATTCCACGTGAAGGTCCATGATGACCACCATGCATCAGCATGGGTTGAAGATGGCTAACACTGCCGTGACCACTAGGGGAGAAAGATCCACGATCCCAATTGCCAGAGGAGAAGGATCTACGACCTGCATTGCCATGAGCCGAGCGACCACCAGAGTTGGTGCGCCCTCGACCTCGAGTAGTAAACATGGCCACAAGTGGATCGGTGGTTATCTTTGTGGATTTGATGCAGAGCTCAAAATCCAGCAATAGAACAATGACCTCATCGACTGGAAGAGGCTCTCGTGAGATGTTGACAGTAGCAACAATAAGATCGAATTCAGACCTAAGGCCGAGCAGGATCCATGAGATAAGATCATCTTCATCAACTGGTTTGTCAGCGCTAGCAAGGATTTGAGCAAGAGATTTAGCCTGAGACACAAAATCAGAGATAGAATGTGCACCTTTTGAGAGTGACTGAACTTCGGAGCAAAGTTGTTGAACTCACGAGCGAGCCAAAGTTCCATAGAGGATCTCAAGTGTACGCCACACCTCTGCAGAGGTCGCACAAGTACCAACTTGATTGACGGACGATTTAGAGAGGATATTGGTGAGCCATGCTAGCACCAATTGATCGAGTCGAATCCATTGAGCTACTTCTGACGATTCATCATCACCATCAGGTCGAGGAAGAGTTCCGTCCACAAGTCCAATAAGACCATGAGAACTGAGAACAGGAAGAACTTGCGTGCGCCAGGGGAGGTAATTTGTGGAGAGTAATTTGATGGAGACCTCTTGCCTAATGGCCTTCACTATTGGAAGAGAGGAAGAGCTGAGAGGGATTTCTGATGTTGCATCAAAAGCAATTGGCTCTGATACCATGTGAAGAAGAGTATGCAGAGACACAAAATAGGAGGAGGAATATATGTTGGAATTGCTTGATTCCTTTCTCTGTATTATCTTCTTTACATAGAGATGTAGAGTACAATGATAAGGCTAAATCTCTTGATTATAGCCATGGATTCTTGTAACTATATACAGGTAGAGTCCCTTGATTTCAGCCTTACACTATGAACAATATACAACTATATGGTTGTAACTAGATGCTTAACTGAATGTAGAGATCTTGCACAACTGAATGTAGAGATCTCGCACATAGCTCACACAAGAAGACCTTGATGTCTGTGAATAACTTATATATTTGCACTTGATTTTTATTTTTTCTTTTTCCTAAGATTGCTTCATCTTGCAAACTTTACATATATAGGTTGTGATCAATATTCTTTTAAATGTATGGTTATTTTGATCCCATTTACTTTGGAAAATATATGATCTGCAATATTTATGTGAAAGAATTAGTTAATTTA